TTTTTTCTTGGGGCCAAGGAAAACCTGCTCAAAGTTTTATTATAGAAATCTACTAAAATTATTTTATTCTTTTTAAAAAATATTCTTAAAATTAATTTTTTCACAAAAGATTGCATTGTCATCAGTTTCTAAGCTATCCTGAAAGTTTCAGCTTGCTAGCTAGTCTGGAAGTGAGTGAAATTTGAGTTTCAAAATTTGATCTGGACAAACAGACAGACAGACAGACAGACAGACAGACAAGAAAGTGAGTTCATAAAAACGTGGTAAAAACGTGGTAAAATGATACGCATCAGCCCTTCGATACAAGTGAAGCCAAATTGATTGATCTGTTGCCAAAAATGAGCACGGGAGGCGAAAAAAACCACGATGACGCACAATCGAACATTTGGGATGCTTCTCTTCCATGCTGGGCGGAAAATGAGATGCCTTATCGGGAAAAATCTCATTCGAAGCTTTCTTCAGAAGTTGACGAGCTTCGTGACAACAGATATTATTTCTAGCGTCTCATTATCTCATAGCTCCGAAGCCAAGCAACTAAGCGTTGATGAATAGCTACGAAGCCGTAAAAGCTACGCGTTTCCCTCTAAATGCGCGTTGGATCAGAATAATAAGGCTGCTGCGAACCATTGTATGAACTTGGTTCTTTCTGACGCGTGGTTCGTTGTTCGAAACAGGAAAATTATTCATGAAGTTTAGATAAAGGTTTAGTTTTCAGCGTCATCGATTGCATTTTCTGCGTATGTTTACAACTACTGGAAGCAGGAATCGATGGCGAGAAAAATGTCAATTTTCCCAAGTATTCAACACGGAATCCTGTGTTCATGAATTAAGACGCAACAAATGAGTTTTTCAAGAATTATTAAACGGATTTCGATGTTGAATAATACCACTAAAAACAAATTTATCAATTATTTGGCATAAGTTGAGGAGAGGCTGTGCAGTTGGTTCAACCCTGAAAACAAGTGAAATATCTAAAATGTGGTATTTGATAACCTTATGAGGAGGTACACAATTTTTCTACAGTATTGTACAAGGGGTAAAATCTACTATAAAATTTACAAAGCTCTGGGCGTGCCGCAGCCATCAATAATCCCACAGAACCTAAAATTGTCAATTCTAAAAATATTTTCGATAAATTTAAAATTAACGATAAGTTTACAAAATTGTGGTCGTGCCCCAGCCACCTATAATCCCACAGATCCTCAAGCTGTCGATTTCCAAAAATATATTCCAGAATTTCGCATCGAAAATGCCCCGATTAATCCAACACAGTTCGATAAATTTAAAAAATGTCCAATTCCCACAATTATGATCACGGCTGCTCATTTTGAGAGGGATTTCTCTTCGGCGTAAAGCTGTTGAAATTTTGAAACGCATCAAATTTGTTTCAAAATAAAAAATTGAAGTTTTTCCCTTCCATCGATATTGTATTCTTGAAATACCTTCCGGGATCACTCAACTCAGTTGAATCAGCAGTTTCCCGCGAATTATTGGGGATGCCAAGTTTTAAAAACTAAAAATAACCTATGCGTAGTTTAGGAATCATTTTAAATTGGAGATGTTTTCTTAAATGCAGGTGGACTCTCTCTACAGCAAATTTCTCTGCATAATGAATTGTTGATGCTATAGGGTTCCCACCCCATGTTCTTGGAATTCTTCAAACGAAATTCTCTCAACAACGGATTTTTTTTTCTGGTCTCTTGAATTTTGCAGTAGAGAGTCCAACTGTATTCAGCATTCTTGTTGCGTAATTTCGTACATCGAGGAATCCCTGTATGTACAATACTGAACTTTGAACTCATTCACACAAAACCAACTGAGTGCTTGCACCTGCAACAAAGCTTATCGACGCCTCATAAACAAACACCCGCGTCATGCGTCGAAAACAGAAACGAAGCAGATAACGAGTATTACCCGTTCTGGTACTGTAGATAATTCCCATCCTCCCACTCGTCGCCATTTTTTCAAACGTCCCAACAAGTACCAAAGACCCATTTAGACCTAGTCGCAATCGGAAGCCGGGGTTATAAAATAAGAACCCACAAGTCCTGTTGGAAATGAGCCAAGGGATCCGAGAGACCCGGTCCAAGGCCGTTCTGTAAAAAACCGAGCGGGTTGAAAGACACTTCGGGTGACGCAAGTTCGATCCGTTCTTGTTTTAACCCGTATGACTTCGTCGTCTCGACCGACGAGAGTGGCGAGCCAATTAAAAAAACTTTTTTTTAAACCCCCACACACACGAAAGAATAAACAACATGGACGATAGTGGAATTCGCCAACGCATTCTTTCCTACGCGATTCATAAAAAATCAGGGTTCGCTTCTTCGCTGAGACAACAACATTTCTTATACATCGACCGCACGCATCTCATTCACGACGAGAAGAAATATTTGGTTAAAATCGCAACTCATTCGAATATACAACATGACCTTCGCAGAAAACAAGCTCTCCTTTTTGATGTACTGTTTTTTTCGTATGCATCTTTTCAAGTTTTAAATTCACACTTATATTAACCAAATCAAAGCGAGGAAAGACATTCAAAGCTTTGAACTTTTTCGAACATTAATTTCAGATACGGTTTCTCAACACAGAAGTAACACTTGACCTTTCGCTGAGTAACCGTCAATTGTCTTTAGTCTAGACTTGGATGCTTTAGTTACGGATACTGAATTTTAAAATTAAATCCTGCGGAATAAATGTAAAAACTACGCTGTGATATTAGCGATAAAATGGGACCATTTCTGGGATCTGAATAGATTTGAATTTCTCAGAAAAAGTCTAGGAAAATATAGGCCAAACAAATTGCGCATAAAAGTGTTTCGCAACATGGAAAATCTTCAGGAATAACACAAAAGGTACGCTATTCATTTTCAGGCCCCAACGAGAGTCGTACTCCGGCAGAACTTGGGATTACATAGGAAGCTTTTTCAGCTCAAGAAGTGCAGGAATACGTTTGCCCAAGAAATATTGACTAATTTTCGAGAAGAAAAACAGCCAGAAAGCTTTAGACTAACAACACACCAAGAATTCGTCAGTGGAGTACTTGAAAGATGTTCGAGTGGAGGCTTCGAATCAGAAAACGGTTCCACTAATGCACACATAAGTTTTATCTTATCTTGCATGTGTTAGGCGGGTTTGGAGGTCACGAAAAGGGGTTTGCTGCCGCAACGCGGGAAGTTCCCGAATTTCCCGCACGGAGAAACTACCCCTCATTATAATAATATAATGTGGAGAATACTTGTGAAGTATTATCCACATTACATATGGGTCAAATTATTCCAAATGTATCAAACCCAGGAAAAGGAAATGCTTCGTCAATGCATCAATGCCGCACAAGGGTTCGCCGCAACATTTTCTTTCCAAGAATGCAGTCGAATTTGAAATGGAAAGCAAAAAAAATTGAGTGAGAAGGTTTCGAGTTACGGAATCATTGCTTCCAAGTGAATTCAGCCAGCGACTTGAAAAAGTTAGGGGAGATATTTGACATTTGGACTACGGGATTTTCAACTGTAGAAAATAAAACATGCTTGGACGAAAATAAAAGAAATTCCTGGGATTTCTGATCTGAGCCCCGCACGACAGGACTTGAAATCATCGCACAGGATTACATACTGTCAGAGGAAACTGTGACCCATCACCCGATAGCATTTCCAGGACTGTTTTCTGCTCTCCATTATTGCCTATTACTCAAAGATTCCTTCCATTTGTCGATTGGACAACTAAAATGAATCCTGATGCATGTCTCAAGACGTGTTTGATGAGATATTGGCACTGGAAACTAACCTGCACAAAGGGCAGCCAAGATGTGGACGATGGGAGATTCAGTAACGAGTCGATGGCTTCCATTAAACCACTCCTTGGCACTATTGTACGTACAAAAGTAAATCGCTCTCGTCGGCGCAACACCGATCAGGTTTGGAGCCAAACCTTTGAACAACGCACTCGGCCCTTCCCGTTCCACGATATACCTGCGATGAAAACGAAGACCCAATGTAGAGCGATCGAAACACCCCATAAAATCTCAAGAATTGGAACACCGACACGTACTTCAGGCATTTGATCAACCCTATCGAACCCGTCGGGGCCGGTGACGTCCCATGCACCAAGGAATGCGGCACAACGATCTCAGGCGCCCGCCGTACTACGTTCCTCGCACAAACAGTTCGGAGTTGCTGCTTGGAGCCGTGGACCGAACGACAAGTAGTCCACCCTGTGCCGTTGATGGACGCCTCCACCGGGATATGAACGCTTCCGCCTCCGCCGCCGTTGTTGAAAGTCGCCACGCTGGATTGTAAACGGGTCTTGACCACCTCGAGCGGGCACGTGACGATGGCTCCCATCGTACCTCCCGAGCTGCAACGACAAGGGCCACAACATCAAACATAACAAGCCTCGTCATTGGACACCTTTCAAAAGCGGATAACTGCATACCCGAACGAGACACCCTGCTAAAATCATTTCGAAACGCGCCATATGTCGGCATAACTATTCACTCGACGTGGGAAGCGTAAAACCTTCAGGAGATCAAAAGAACAAACATTGCATTTGCTCGAGCACTTCGCGTACCGACAATCATGAAACTGAAAGAAACAGCTTACCCGCCAGCCACCAAGTGGATCATCGTGTCTCGATCAATCATCGCAAATGCCTGCCACTTGATCGCCAAGTGGCGAGTAAATCACATCCCGTATGATAAACACAATATAATTACATAGTTATTCCTGGATAGAAGAGAAGTATCTGATTCAGGAATCAATAAGGTGAAACATCATCAACCACATGCAACACGCTGCAACGAATGATGACACCAGTGTTTCTGCCAAGGAAGAAACCAGACAATTGTCCAGTTTTCTGCTGAAAGCAAAAAGCTACTGAAGACTACATTACTCTAAGACAGAGTTACAGTCAGCCGTAACTTGGTATCCAAAAGATATGGCTTAATCAACATTTCTTGTGATTCCAGAATCTGTTGGAAAGTCCTGGACGACCCACTTCAGCCATCATCTACTTCACGACGTAACAACTGTCGTAAGGGTTCTTCACACCTCGAGCCCGACCGTGCAACTGCGCAGTATTGTTGCTTCCCGGAGAACAACGCCTAGGGATTGTTTATCTATCCATCTGTTGAAATTGTCCACATGGGACACCTCCGTTGCTCTCATTTTCCGAATTGCAGATTTGGCAGATACACACCTTCAGACTATTAACGTGGCAACGGAATAACATGGAACGGAAATTGTTTGATCTACTACACACGCTGAACCAATGAAGCGAAAATATTCCAACCTTCCGTCCTTCCCCTGAAACTTCTAGGGATTCGTAACCAATTCGTTCTCCGGACAATATCTCGCACCGAACGTGGTTGCAAGTTACATGCGATGACCAAAGATTCCCATGAGCCGGTTACAGAGTGGGTAAGTTGAGTTCTTCACTTTCTTTATAGTTCCGTAGGTAGATGTCGGGGCAAAGATTCCATTTCCGGCATCACCCATTCTCTGCATGCCGGATCACAAGTTCATATCACATAATTTCAAGCTTCAAACAAAGATCTGTAACCTTGATTTTTCATGGTTAATGCAAAAAAATTGTAGATACAATATTATAAAAAGCAACAACGGAGGAACACGGAAACGATTATAAAATCTTGAAGTGCTTCTGAATGAATTGGTCATGGAAATATTTTTTCTTGTGGACTTATGATCAAAATCATGCATCATGTCGGTAGAGTATGGTGAGATTTTTTATTTCAAAATTATCCACACATACGGTACAATGTATTCTAAAAAGGTACTGTATCTGCAAATCTGCATGCTGGTCATCGACTACAATAATAACATACAATTATCAAGGCTACTGTCCCAAATACAGTACTGTAGATTCATGTGGACAATTCATTCAGAGACCAGAGTAGCAGCAACAGTATACTAAAGCATATCCTGATATGGTTACTGTACTGCAGTTGAAAATGTGTCAATACTTGCCTCAGGGATACTCAATCTCGGTATCGAAATTTCGTACGCATCCAGCACTTGGAAGGCAGCTCCATGTGTCAGAATAAATCAGAACTTATTTTTACAGCAGTATGCTCAACCAAGTTATAATTAATCTATCTGTGTCTTAATTGTAGTAAATATATTAAGTTAGCACGTGCTTGATCAGACAAGGATATGATCCAAGTATGAACAATTACAAGTTCAGTACGTTGTTGTTCAATAATAGCTGTAATACTTTTTCCTGCTTGAACCCCCCAATTTTCATGAGGGGCACCACATAATGTTCAAAACCTCAAAAGGATTAACGACTTTTCAGTCTAGAAGTCGTTTACGCAAAATCATAATTTGATTTTGGGCTTGAAAAAGCTGAATACCGGAAGAGATTCTTCCTTTGTGAGACACGACGCGTACTTCTACTATACAGTACAGTACATGCATGCATCACAAGCACAGACTGAAAACCTACGAGCAGCTCGTCTTTCGAAACCTGGATAAATAAATAACAACGCGTCCGTTCGAACGATAACGTTTAATAATGCTGTTCGAACGTCGTAGAATACAAAAACCGAGTTGCATACAGGACAGCACTCGCGAAGCCCTTATAATCGGCAAAATAGAGATAAAAAATACATTGGGCAGGTTGGAAGCACTGCAACTCCACACCCACCACCTCTTTTTGCGTGAAAATGAATCAATTTGCTGAAAGCAAAACAATTGCCACGCGTATAGCTCACCAATAATTGAAAAAAGCCCTAACTTGATATCAGCAATACAATTTGACCGATAAAAAATACGTAACCCAGCCATGGATTCGATCAAGGCCCCTCAACTGACTAGCGGGAAACAAAGAAAGCGTTCAAAAAAACATAGAAAAACAATTGTTTTCTAGAACCAGCTTGTGCCCAAGCTGAGAGATCAATCAATGGATCAATTTTGTATCAATAATATACAACAGTGATAAACTTGGCTATAAATTGGTGGCAACCCTGAAGAGCTGCATCAAAAACTTTCACGCGAGATGAACTTGAGTCTCAGCTTGTCAGGGAAGTAACACCTATTCAAAATGGGGTGGCTCCCACGGAAAAACGTAAAAAAAAAACTTGAAAGACAGCCTTTCTATAACCCATTTTTCTTGCACAGCACCTCTTGCAACTGCGCAGCAGTCATCACTTGGATACCCTTGCTCACATAAACAACTTTGAACCTTTGCGGCAACGCGACGACGCTTTCTGATTTGTGCCTGCGTAACGTGAACCCGTTGGCAGCTGAAACTGCGGCCGTTGTCATGGACTCGATGGCTGATCCAATGCGAACGGTTGCCGGCGGATGAGAAGGAGAACAGTTCAGCAGGTCTTTGAGGATTGACTTGGCTCTTGGCTTTGGCGACGAAGTACCGTCCACGGCAATTGAGATCGGCTGCTTGGGCATGTCGCCCAATGATAAATGGCGTACGAACTTGCCTCGTTTACGCTCCCCTGAAAAAAGAAAGAAATACTGTAACGCTATGTTTAAACAAGCTTCGAAACATGACCCAGTCTCGGATTTTACACAGTTGAACCTCAATACTGTAATTCGAACCTCCCTACGTCGAATTTCCTCAAGTCCCTGTCTGAATTCCAGACAGAAAAATTCATAAAAATCCTCCCTAACTCAAAGGCTTTCATCCTAAAACCTCCGTATCTAAAATTTCCTGGAGGCCTTTTCGCTACGATTTTATTGATAAGGAAGAGAGAGTAGTAATAAAAATGTAAACCGATATATTTTAAAAGAAAATGAACCAATCCGGGAAATTAACCCTTGCCTCCAAGTTCAGCAACTCATTTAAGAGACAATTACGGCCCAGAATAAAAATCACGATTTCCTGCAAATTTTCTTTCTTTTCCAAAAAAAAAAATGCTCGTTTTCCTAACTTGAATTTCGTTGATGGTCCCTTGAAATTCCACTAGAAAAGGCGCGTTTGTACTTAAGAAACACAGATTTCCGTTGTCAAGTTAACCTTCTGGAAGAACAGGATTCAGTACATTAAGTTCGGGTATTTTACGAGTTCTGAAGAGTACAGTAATTCTGACGTGCCGCATTGATAGTATTTCTACCACGCAGAAAGACTACAGCTAACCCCTTCAACGAGGAAAACTCGAACTGAGAAAAGGTCTCCAGGAAGGATATCAGAATTTGGACTCTTCTTCAAAGCTCGAAAAGAATTTCAAATGCGCAAGCAAGGTTTCAGAAATCGAAGCATTAAAATCTTCTACTAATCGTGCCATTGAGTGCGATTAGAACGTCACGCAGTCCGCGATCACTACACTCACTTCGTGAAAGACAAAGCAATAAATGTCCTCAGCTCAAATGAACCACCCGTACAAAAAATACTGTACAGATCTCAAAAACAAAAAGACACTAACAAATCCGCTTAAAACGTACTACGCGAAATAGAATTTAAAGATACCACCAGTTCATCCGTAACACCGGTGACTCAATCGAGCGAAAAATGGATTTACTCAACTCAAGAATCACGCACAGCAAAACAGCTGGCAAAAATGATTAGGAATTCAAATTACATTGAAGGTTGAGAGTAAAACTTTTCCGACGCTGTGATTCTCTTTCCAATGCAACGTAGGTTTAGATTATGTCACATCTTTCGTCGACAGAAAAACGACTTACTAGCTGCACCGTCGGAATTTTCTTTCCGTTTGAGTTTCGCATGTTCCTGCAAAGACGGCTGGTCAGCGAGAAGAGATTGTCTCGTGCCTACCAAAGGGCTCGGCGTGATGTTGACAGCAGATTCAGGATCCGGACCACAGTAAACAAAGCCCGCGACACAATCCATTTCGAACCGGATCAAACGCGCACGCTTGATGATTCCAAGTGATCCAAGTACGTTGCACACATCGTACAATCTGCGAGAACGCGTGCGCAACAGGCCTAGTTTCTTCGACTCCATCTCCGCAATCTTGGATGCGATGTCCAGGCTTTGGTCAGACGGAGTGAACTTGCCAGCAGCTTCGAGTTGCTGCATACAATCTAGTTTCATCAGTTTCAACGCACTTTGCATACTAAGCGCTCGCGGTGGTTTTTGCAGCAACATAAGAATGAGGAAGCGTTGGCAAATGATGCCAAGTGGACGATCAGCTTTCAACGAATCACTAGCCAAGGGAACCGAATTCGCAGCTTTCAATTTCCCGTACCCGTTGTCAACAATTCGCTCTATCTGCTCTTGAATATCGTGCTTGAGTTTCAGTTCGTCGTAGTTTTTGCAAGTGGGGTCCTCGCAGCCGCCTTTCTTCATGCATGCGCAATAGAGCTCGTGCAGTCCACAGTCGGGTTTGTTATCAACCCCGGCGTATACCTTGCGATACACCAGGTCGTCAAGGATATAACTCAGTTCGTCAAGCGTGAACTGAATCTGAGCGAGGGACTTCAATCGATGCAATGTATGAGCCAGCTTTGAAGTCCCATTCCACCGCATGAAATTCTTCTGATATTTTTCGACGATTGAGAGGGATTCAATGATGTTGAGAATATCGTACAGCCGACGACGTTCAACGCCCAGGTACGTCTCTACTTTACCCATATCTAGTAATGGGCGTTTCTCTTTCGGGATGTCTTCCAGCGGAAGCATGTCCAGGAATCGTGAGCAAATGTCGGATAACTTTTCCCCCCGTTTCGGATTTGAGTTTCCGTTCTGTTCGAGTTTGGAGTCCAAATCATCGTGTACGTTGGCGTCGTCACCGCCTGGTCTCGGAGAATCTCCAGCTATACTTGAAACGTCACTGGCAATGGAGTTTTGCGAGAGGATTTCAGTTTCGCAGAATTCGGCACAGGCTACATCCGTGAGGAGTCGTAAATTGGACAAAGGTGATGCAAATGATGGCTTGTCATCATGCTTCTTGATGGGAGACGAGAAGGTTTTGGCCGATTCTGATGTCATTTCAAGCAACTATAACTCCTATAAAACCGTCCCTGCAACGCAAAAAAGAAAATAAATTAGCTTCTATCAATGATCATCGGCCCATCATAAACAAGGGGGGATAAACCGCAACCGATGGTAAATTCGAACTGATTTTCTGCGCAGTTTTCAAAAGAATTTGATGAACAGACGCTAAAAAAATATTCCCGCTGTCGTATGTAAGGATCTATTCACGGTGGTTCAACAGCATATATGAAATTCAAAGATGGAGCAGAGATCAAGGCGGGTTTCTCCCTTACAGCAGTGGAAAACAATGCGCATCAAATGATGAACCACGTTTCTTGATCAAAAATTACTAACATGTAACTCCGACGCGAGGGAATGACTTTTAACATAACGACTCAGACATCCCGAAACAAGGTTACAACGGGCAGCGGTACTTCAGCAATGTTTCTATAATGGCGTTCCTGTGCAAGAAAATTATGACATTCATCCATAAGTCCAAATTTAAGAAATATGCGACTCAAATTCAATTCGCAACCTCATACGCGGCAAGAGAACATAAGATCACATGAAACATCCCTAAAAATAGCCTCGGATTCACATAGATGTAAAATACTTTCAGTATTCAAAAGAAAACCAAAGAAATAAATCTTCTTGCATGGGACGACGCTTGGATTCCGATACGTGAATCCAGTCTTACGAAAACGACATTGAAATTCGCCGTAAACAGATTCCTAAGCAACTAAGACACTTCATAAGGAACTGCGTCTAGGTATTTTCCAACGGCCACTCTGGAATCGAAACTTCTTCTTCAAGAGGGAAGTTTATTGAAGATCATTAAATAACTCGGCTACTTTCGGGAAAAACAAAACAATCTCAATGAATGGTATAATTCAATTTCCATAATCTCACACCAGCAGAGTTTCAACGATGTAATTTTTAAAATAGACGAGAACCAACAACATTGGGCCATGAAACTACTACGTTACACTCGATTCGTCGAGACAAACCACCATGAGGTTTTCTGAGATGTTGAAACGCCTCGTTACAATAAATCATACCACAATAAATCTGTATAAATACGCCGATAACCAATAGCATAATTGCACAAACCATGGACCAGGATTTACTATCGTCGCTTAGACTGGGGATGGGGTGGTTCAGTGAATTCTTTCCACGAATGTTTTCAATCACACATGAAGTTGATGCACCACCAATCGAAGGAAAGAGCTGGGATATTGCCAGCCCATCGTTAGTAACTGCAGTTGATCACTTGGAAATTGTAATTTTGGATTATTGGCGGGATACCAAGAAGGCAGCCATCTTGAAAATAACCACTTTTCAAATGTGCTACGAACGACAAAATGTTTGATTAGTGACATCTATACCTTTCAAATGAAGTAAGCTCGTCGATCCGTCGAAAGAAAATAAACCGCAAACCTGGAAAAAATTAAACTCGTTGTCCAATTTTCACCCGTCGGTGAGGGGCGGCGGAAGAAGCGCCTATAAAAGATCCTCTTTCCGCGTAGAGTATATAGTATTGGATTGAGCTAAAGGCACAAGTTTTGGTGAGGTGACCCGACCGGAAAATTTATACAAGAAAATATTTATTAGAATGAGTTCACAAACTGTTAGTGCAGAAGAGTCTTTTCGGACTATGATTCGTTGATGAACATCCGGCGGGTAAAGTTTGTTTCATGTTGGAATTTTGATGAAGTTCCCATGACATGTGGCCACGATGTATTTTTCCCGTCGATGTTGAATACCACTGCATATGTTCTCTTTCTATGTGTTTTGACAAGTTGTTTTGTCCTTCGCGTTCGGCTCCGAAGATCAGATATTGAAGCCTCGGAAAGGCAATGACGATTAGCGAAATCGATGTCGACACGAAAGCAATGGAGCTTTCCCCGAATTCAAGTTCGGACTCCTCATCATCGAAAGATGCAATCACTGAAGAGAAATTCGACCGTACCTTTCTGCGTCGTTTTCGCGTTATTTTCAGTATAATTTTTCCTGGCTTTGCCTCGCTACCGATGGTATTATTCGGGATTCTATTGTTCTTGTGCTTCCTTGGTAAGATATTTCTAGTCATTGAAAGTTGAAGTATAGCCTCACCGGATTTGCTTTCTTTGCAGAAGAATATGTTACGTACAACGTTGGATTGATCCCTAGTCGCTACTATGAAGTACTGGGTGCCAGACCAAAGGATGTTCCCGCCTTCCAAAAGCTTGCCATTACAACTTTGGGTTGGGTGATTTGTCAAGCATTTGTAAGTCGTCCACCCGCAACCCACGTCCATGTCCTTCAGCTTTTATTTTCTCCAGCTGCGCAGTACAAAGAAGTTTGTGTCTTCCGTTTCCTACATCACCTGGCGGCAACTTTTGTCCCGCAGTTTGCATTCAATGTATTTCAGAAAGAAGAATTTTTATGATGTCAACGTTCTGTCTAGAAAAGTGGACAATCCGTAAGTCTCAAATTTGTTCGGAATTCAAGGGTAGTTGTTCAATTCTCAGTATTTTAGTGATCAGAGGATGACGCAAGATGTGGATAAGCTGTGTGATACACTTGGTAAAGTTTTCACGAAGATCATCATTGCACCATTCATCATCGGATATTACTCGTACCAGGCTTTTGCGAAGTATGTGCATTGAGAATGTAGCTCAACACGTTTTAAAAAAATGTTGTATTTCCAGCACCGGTTGGTACGGTCCTGTTGGAATTCTCGTGTTATTCCTAGTATCGACCGTCGTGAACAAAGCAATCATGTCACCAACGGTGCAGCTTGTTTTCGACCAAGAAAAGCGTGAGGGAGATTTCAGGTAATTTTGAAGAATTGGAATTGTATGTCCCATCAGAAATTGTTCGATTAGTAACTGGAGAAGAGTCCCCGCTGATTGAGGTTCCTAGGAACATCCCTTTATTGACCTATTCTTGAGATCACATTTTGTGTGCCGAATATTCTCCTTATTTCTCTTACATTCAGCATTATTTTAAAAGTGAAATGGAACAAAATCATCTTGCACATCTGAAATGTCCAGTATGCAGATATGATAATTATTCGTCAGTGCATTTTTACTGCTTCCTTTCTATGCTGCTATGTTTTTGGTAATCTTAGGATTTTTTCGCATTGGCTGAGTTTACTGAAATGACTGTGATCTTTTTAGGAATTTGTTATTGATCTCCAGTGCATCTAATTCGTCGCTAATATGTGAAAAAGATACTCTAGATAGTCTTGAACCAACCTTGCATAATCATTGGTCGTCGAATCATTTTTCTATCATTTGTGTTTTTCAGCTGGCTCTGTAGTGCATCATTTTTCCCCTTATGGCAAAAATTATTGTAGTGAAACTCTGACAGGTTCAAGCATATGCAAGTACGCTCAAATGCGGAATCGTTGGCGTTCCTCGGGTCGGGTTTGATGGAAGGCTGGCGGGTCGACAAGAAGCTGGATATTTTGCTGAAAGTGCTCGTAAAACGCACGAATTGGCAATACTTACTGGATTGTGCCGTCTCTCTCTTTGACTATGCTGGTTCCATTCTTTCATACGTGATGCTTGCCATTCCTATCTTCGCCGGCCGCTATGATGATTTGTCTGCCAACGAGCTCAGTGCTCTCATCAGCCAGGTAATTATTTATTCGAGGCATATTTTTTGTTTCGAGGCATTTCTTTGTGCCAAATGTTACTGATGGATAGTCAAAGTTTTTAGAAAGTGTTCTATTGCACTGTATGTTGACTAATGAAAATATTCCGAGCTACATTCGACGTTACAGCTGTTATCATAATTGGTTCATGCATGGTGTCATGTTGTGCTTGGGAGATATACTAGGTGTTCTAGAAAAATAAGGCATCCTTGGTAGATCAATAAAAAACGTGACTAGATTCATTTATTTGAATTTTCCTATAGTTGGAACTAGTGATGCCTTGTTTGATTTTTAAATTTCTGAAATGAATACAGTATTTCGAACGGAATCTGGAATTTGAACCTCTTTAAGCTCTTCAAGGGACCAGAAAAAAGGAATTGAGTACGGGAGATTTCGAGTTGAGGAAAACCTTTTTTTTCGGGTAAAGCGAAATTATTTGCAGAAAATTATAATTGGTGTTTATCGGGGCTTGGAATTCCTTTGGGAATGAATTCTCAAAATGCTAAACCTTGAAGCAAGTGTTCATCTGCCCTATTAGTCCTTCACTTCCTTTCAAAACACATCAAGTTGCATTTTAGCTTTTTTCTTTTTTCTGTGTTGACATAAAAATCGTCAGAACGCCTCTAGAAAGTTTGAGTTATTGAGGTTACAGAATGAAGCATTCTAGTTACGGGTGTTCGTAATGTATTGTTTCTGAAGTTATTTAGACATTTACTTGAAGAAAATGCGACATTGGGAGGTTCAATTATGATTGAAACTGCGGGATGTATTTCGAAGTATTGTACTAAAGCCGATGAGTGGATGCTTCGGTAAAATAACTAGACCAAGAAACATTTTCACGGGATTTTCCTGTGCGATTTCGGTACCACATTTGATTTGATTGGACCTACATTTTTTAATTGCCTGACGGACTTCATTTAGGATTAAGACTCATCCGCTTGAGGAAAAAATACCTCACTTAACAGGTGCTGCCCAGAGTTAATGTGGCGTTTTTCAACAGAATGCCTTTGTATGCATATACTTGGCGTACAGCTTTAGTTCTCTTGCTGATTTGGCACCGGAGGTTGTAAACATAGCCGGAAATACGCACAGAGTCGCAGAACTGATCGAGGCTTTGAAGAAGCCCGAAACAGGGCAGTGGGATACAGGCTGTGATGATTCGTCGGATAATGCAGAAAACCGTTGGGAATCAAAAGTGAAGCCTGAGCTGGAATCCACGCTTGCGTCGTGAGTTGAAATACAATGTTTTGCGTACTGTATTTCAGTGTTTAAATGCATTTTGTCTTCAGTCGTGGAGAAAATAGCTTCACTGTATTTCGTCTGGAGCACGTGACCGTCCGCAATCCTTTTGCCGGGACAGATTTGGTTCGAGGTGAGCGGAATTCCTTATATTGTTCTATGTTTCATAAAAAATGACGTTTATTTACTCATTTATTTTTACTATCGCGTGATTTTTCTGGACATCTTATTTTCTTCGCCATTGCAGACCTGAGTTTGCAGCTGAATTTGGGAGTGAATGTTCTGATCACCGGACCAAGTTCTTGTGGAAAGTCCAGTCTTCTTCGGTGTTTACGAGGTCTCTGGCCTCCGTTGTCTTCCCACGCGTCAAATGCGCTTCCGTCAGTGAAAGCTTATCTCCCGATGACGGAAAAGTACATGTTATTTGTTCCTCAGAAGCCATTCTTTTCAGACGGATGTATGCGCCAACAAGTGAGTGATTTCTCTCACGATTAGGGAATCACTTTTATGGTCTACTTTTGGGGGCATTTGAAGGTCATGTATCCATTGAGTGATGAAGATTGCGAAGAGTCGGAAAACCGTCGTGTAATCGAGTGTCTTGAAAAGGTGGACCTGATGAGTGTTGTGAATCGTTTGGGAGGCATTACCGGAGAATCGGATTGGAATTGGTAAGTTTGAGAACGCAGTCATATGTCATTTAATCGAGTAAAATGCGCACCGGTGTTCTTCGTTTGAAAATCTTGATGAAACTGTGTCCCTGAGTAAGACGCGCACCCCATTTTTATTGACTAAAACCACAATACAGTATGTCGAAAATAAGAAAACGCAGATTTTAATACAGTATATGATTGATTTTAACCTGAATTCAACTAATTTTCAAGTGATATTGAAATTGCCTTTTCTGTTGCACTTGGTCCAAAATTTTCCGTTACTGTAGATTCAAACGTAATGAACACCTAACTTATTGAAACATGTATACCTGCCTATGACGCGCATACCCTTTCTTTCCTTTTGAATTTTAGAAGAAAGTTGCGCGTGGTACTCGATAATAAATACGGTAATGATTTATTGTTCGAAGTGAACTACCTGAAAAGAATTTGTTCGGATAGGTAGATATACTGGGAATATTGTTACCTCCTCCAAGTTACTTTGTACGCAAGGGTAGTCGGAAACCCTTACCAACAGAAGCACAGAAATAACGCATCCACTTCCTAACATTACAATATTTTGCTCGTAGCCACATGTATAAATACTGTTTTTTAAATATATTTTTGAGCCCAAGTCAAGAGTCTTCCTGTAAATGAGGGATGTTGGAAACTATTTTCTCTCAATATTGCTTAAGGTTTCGGTCAAGTAATGTGTTTTTTATTGGATGAAATATAAATATATTTTCAATTGATCGAATTGAAGGAGCACTCGATTCATGAATGCTGAGAAGCTGATTTTTGCTAGAAGCCTTGATATTTATTGTCTCAAATTTGTATACAGCACTGTACAATTGAGTCGGCAGTGCGTCTTTGCCTACCATAATCAAGATGTTGTTCTCTTTTAAGCACTTATTTTCGACGTTGGCGAGGAATAATTTTTTGTTTCTGACCTGAGAAGACATGATTTGTTCAAAAAGTGTGCTGTGGCCTCTTGCTCGAGCAAATTGTATCTGCAGAGAAACTCCCTAATTGGACAGTTTTTAGGCCATTTTTCGAGTTCATGACGACGAGGATTACGTTCATTGCTCTTGCCTTTTTCCCTTCTAGGTACGACGTGCTTTCGCCGGGCGAAATGCAGCGCCTGTGCTGTGCAAGAGTGCTGTTCCATTCTCCGAAGTTCGTTTTCTTCGATGAAATTACGAGTGCCATATCGCAGAATCTGGAAGAAGTGATTTACAATGAGGTTAGGTCTGCTGGTATTTCGTACGTATCTGTGGGTCACAGGTCAAGTTTGCGTCAGTTCCACGATATTGAACTAAAGTTGGACGGCAAGGGCGGCTGGGAAATATTGTCTATTGAGAAACCATCGAGCGATCAGTGAGAAAGCTCACCCATCCAGAATCTAACGGAAGTATTTTTTTGAGTGTTCAGGTGTTGGGCAGTAAAATGAGGATTTTCAGAACTAGCTTGAAGTTAGGATCTGCGGCTGTGGAATGAATGTAGGGGTGTAACGAGTAGAATTTTAATCAAAACTGGTGATCCGCATCAAACAGTTTTCTACGAATATCCGTCCAAAAGAGGTATAATAAGTGTTCGAAGAAGCAATCAAAGGATGTCTGGATGCATTCCTCGTCCGAATCTTTTCCGACGTAAGTTGGGGGAACAAAGTCTAATAGGTCTATAGATTATGCCCAAGCTACTTTTTCTGGAGCGTGTCGAATTTTTTGATTTTCTTCCTCCAAATGGTTTATTCGGCGGATTTACTTGAATTTGAGTTGCTGTGGACCATAGTCATTGGAGTGCTTTCTAGTGACGGTACGGTACTAAGTGACGGTACGGCACTAAGTGACGGTACGGCACTAAGTGACGGTACGGCACTAAGTGACGGTAACGTCTCTGCCTTTTTCCTCAATTGTCTTCTTTAGGTTTTTAATGTTTTCATTCTCATTTCAAAACGATTATGTTCGATTCATTGCAGTGCAGTATTTTTCGTTGGGGTTGGATTATGGGGTGGCATTTTAATGAAGATGGGAGTTTATGCTCTGGGTCATGTGAATGGAAATTATGGTGCTCATTTTATGGTTCGTTGATGTGAAAGAAAAAAATCTTTTTCCGATACACTCCCTTCATTCAAAGTTTTTCCTCGGGATTCAAGCCAAAATTGTTCTTCGTGTCTTCCAGTCTTATTTCGTACTGTGATTGTCTATACCGCGATATGGGCAATACGCGTGATCGTGTTCCGTTGTGGCTTCGTCCGGTGATAGATCTCGACCGCCAGTGCACCACGAGCTTCCTGTCGACAACGAAAAGACTTCAGAAGGAAAACAAAATCCCTGACTCCGCTGTACACAAGTTTTTGATGGGCTTTGAGGTTGGTAATTCAGAAGTTACTGGGAGGAAAGAAGAGTCTGATGATAGGTTTTTTGTTGAAAGTTGACGACTCATGGTATTCCTTGGCTCATCGGACTCGGGTTGCTGGTGTGGATGTCTCCCCTCGTGGGATTTCAGAACTTCAGCGTGAATATGCTCTTCGGTAAGTTCTTTGAAGTCGAGTATTTGGTTCACGAGAGTTTTATTTTTGAGGCTTTGGAAGTTAAGCTTTTACAAGCGAAATGTTGATTTCGTTTGGGGTTCATAGCGACGTTTGGCTGAATGTTCTTCTTGTCTATTGAGCCGTGTTTCTTGAAGAAATTCAGGCTTTTTCGTGACTTATCACAGTCGAACCTCTTTAAGCCGAACTAATAAACATTCAAATTCAGGGTACCAAGATAACAAAATTTGAGTTGGGGAAACGAGTATTTTTTCGGAATATAAATATAAAGAATTGCAGAAAATTGTAATTGGTCATATTTAATGCTGAAGTTGGAGGCAAGGGTTCATTTACTAAATTAATCTTTCACTCCATTTCAGAGTACGTGAAAAGTTTCGTTTTTATTGCTTTTGTCTCATGTGTGAATAAAATTATGGCCGAAAGGTCATAAAATTCCAGAAAATTTGGTTTCTGGATGTTTAAGGAGAAAGCCTTTGATTTACGGAGGTTTTTTCATTGTTGCTGAAGGTATTCAGACGGGGACTTGAACAAAAAATTCGACATCGGGAGTTATTAGTGAGGCTCAACGTTCAACTGTATTTGAAATTCGAAAGCAATTGGTTTAAAAGTATTTTGTAGCATTATGTCGTTTGACATTTAGGTTAGTTAATTTTAATCTAGGTGTTACGGTGCTGAGACTCTTCTAAGTCCTGAGGTCGTGATCGCACTGCAGTAAAATCTCTCATCACAACAATTACTCCAGGGGACTGAAGAAAAAACTAATGGCGTAATCCAATTTTTTTTTTGCTCAACTCTGGTTCGATTTTTATTCAGTTTTTACACAGCAGATCTACGGTATCACTTTGATTATGAAAACTTGAAAAGGTAAGTATTACATAGCAAGAAGAAAAATAATTTCTATGGATTGGTTATCAGAAATTAGATTGTGATAAGTGTTTTCTCTTTAAATTGCTATGCAAATATTCAGATTTTCTGCTTGAATTTCTTGTGCGATATGACAGTTTTTCATAACTCGTGCATTCTTTCTCTTTTCTTAGCTACTATTTTCGACATTATCGTGGTAGCCCTGGTGAAGTCAGTGGCGCGTCGACGGCGTCCAGAGCAAAAATCAGAGATGCTCATGACGTTCGGTCCTGACAAATTTTCGTTTCCCTCGGGCCACGCGTCACGAGCTGTGCTATTCGCTCTCTTACTCTCGACGAGGCAACTCTGGCTGTTGCCATGGAATGCAATTTTAGCTGTTTGGGCAGTCAGCGTGAGCGTGTCACGCGTGGTCCTCGGTCGACACTTCCTCGGTGACGTTTTTGGCGGTGCTGTGTTGGGAATTGTCCAATACTTTGTCTTGTCGTGGCTCTGGCTCAGCGAAGGAACGACAAGCTCTATTTTGTACTTTTTGAACAGCGAGCCGCCGGTTGTGGAGTTTGACTGAATCGTGCGCGAACGGCTGTGCTTATGAATGTTTCTCTTTGTTTTTCGCTTGTGGAGCTCCCTCGTATGAACGCGGCAGCTCTTCCTGATCAAAATATTCATCGACCAATTTCTTTTTCGCGAACTTGGCGGTCAGAAACGTTCTGAGTGATTTTTTTGCTAATGGTTTTTGAGGACGCAGCGGGTCCGTTGCTGAATGCTATGTCTGCACGCCTTGTACCTCTCCAATTTGAGAAATACCTTGATGATATTGCGAGAGGGCATTAGCAGTATTCTTTTTCGGAAACGGTAAATTCAGTTGAATATTTTTTACTCAATTGCAAAGCCGTGCTATGAGAAAAAATCAGCTCGACGTTATTTTCCTTAAGAAGATGGTATGTTTTCACGAGTTTTAAATGAACTGTTAGCCTAATATCGCATAAAACACTGCAACTACAGTCAAACGCCGATAAAACGTCACCATTTATTTAGGAGTTGGCGGTTTAAAGGGATCAGCGGTTTATCAAATACTTCATTTTTAATTGAATATTCGAGTACTATTACAGTACTGTACTTACTGTACTCCATTTTCCTCTAAAAATAGAAGAAATACATGTTTTCTAGAAACTTCAGAAATTTTCAAATTAATATTGCTGTGATCTGTAGATTAATATTTCAGTAAATGAATTTTACTGCATCACATTCATTTGAATTTTAAAATTTGGTCTATCTGTTGTTCAAGTAATTTAAAAGAATAAACATTTTTAATTCTGTCATGAAAATGTAAGATTCCGGCCAGAAATTATAATTTTACCCATATATTGATTTTTGTAACGACGAAAAAACAAATGCTAGATAATGAAACAGAACACTTTTGTTTCATTATTAATGTTGGCGGATGGCAGTTGGCGTCTAATCGAACTTTTCTTATCTGGGCTATCAAACATCGAGCTTTGCTTGATGAAACATTTTGGCGGTTGCCGAGGGTGGCGCTTCATCGGGCTGCATCTTAACGGGGTTTGATAACATTTAGTAAGTTTCCGTTTATAATTGATCATAATTTAATTTTCCGTTACACCTGGTTCCGTTCTTTCGTTGCTAGTCGCAGTGGAGTTGCGGAAGGTGCGTTTTTGTATTTCAAGGTGTTGGCTGCACGGTATTCGGCTGATTATCGAAAAAAAATCATCGTGTTGTTCACCACGAAATCAGAACATCTGGGATTTTGGGTAATATTTTTGATCCGATGCCGGCGTCCCTGTAACATGAATGTTACCTGTTGGGATCTCACTTGTGAAATTGGGAAGGTATGAGTTCATGCTGCGTAATAGTGGGACTTATGGCCGATATATTCTTCTCAAGACTTATTCACCCCGTTCTGAATGCAATATTATTCAAGTGTGATGAGATTAACGGACGTGAGGAATTTATTAAAACGCTCTGGTTGCTGTGCATTGCAGGAATGTCGCGTACGCTCGATTTTCTTGAAGAATTTAATACCGTTTAATTTTGAATTTTTACTCTGCGAATTCGATTTTCGTTCATGTTTTGCAGATTTTTCTCCCTCAGTGATGTCGCTGTTTCCGGCGTATGGTGATAACAGTTCATTTAATCCTTACGAGGAGTTGGGTGAGTGCATTTAGAAGCGCTTTGGTTTTTGATTATTTGACATTTTTGTGACATATCTGCTTTGCCGTGATATTCTCAGAACCCGTGACGAAAAGGACCGTAACCGAAGACGAAAAGGTTTCGAGGCCGGTATTCTCCGACAGTGATGTTGAAGTTTTGAGTGATCGTGAGTCGAATAGAAGCCGAAGTCGGTCAAGGTGAAGTTTGTTTGCGGTCGCTTATATCTTTAGTTTCCTGACAATAATTTTTTTTTCTAGGCAGCGTAGAAGGAGGTCGACTTCATCCGCGTCAACTGGGTCAAGACGAAGAGCGAAACGAAAGAAAGAAAAGAAAAAGAAGAAATTGAAGAAAGAGAGAAGGCGAGAAAGAAATGCCTCCCCGTGAGTGTTCATTGAAATTTTTTGGTTCAAAATCAGCTGAAGATGAATGTTCATGGCGTTTTTGGATTTACATCATAGCCCATGTCTTCCTTTTTTTTTTCTCCTTTTGATATTCACAATTGAGACCGTGATAGTTTCTGCTTTAAAATCTCGTTACAACGAACGTCTAGGGATCTGTGTAAAAATTTTCTACTGTATAACTAAAAATCTGTTATAATGAGATCCATGGTTCTTGAAACATTTAGGACTAATATTTTGTGGGAAACTTATTGTAATAATTGTTCAAAAGTTATTTTAAATCGAATATTTGAAGAATTTTCCTTGTATGCAATATTTTTATGAACCACTGTAGTAGAGAAGAATCAAAATGCAGAATATAATCATCTTATTTTAGGCCTTTCCCTCTTTTTATTTCCTAAGAATGTTCTGATCTTACTGAAGTATGCCACAAAAAACACTGGAACAAACAAAAATAAATGTTTAAGGAGAGCGTTTTTTCTTCAGCAGCTTTATATTCCCTGATGTATAACAGTATTTTTGTAAACATACTATTGTATTTTAAAAAAGAGCGGCTTCTGAAATTCTAAAATAAAGGTACCGTATATGCATTCTGAACAGAACGTCATCTTGACTTCCTTCAATTATTCTACATTTTAGGTGCGTAAAGATCAGCATTTCTATTTTTTTACGATGCACTATTTGTTTTCCAATTTGTATGCCGATATTGGTAATTTGAATCCCATGCACTTATAATCAAGGCAAAAATTGCGTTATACTGAAAATATTGATGAAACTTACGTTTGACTAACGACATTTATATAACATCTATCAAATCGTTTCTATGAAAAAACTGCTTGGACTCGGAAAAAATTCTTTGTAACGAAAAATCCTAGCGGAGTGTGTGTCGAGTTATAAAAAATTCAGGGGACTCTCATTCAAGAAAAAAGTGAAATCGCGGAGTCTCGATGCATCGGACATCGTGATTATTTTAATTATTTCAAAATTTTTGAGACAGTTTTTATAATTTTTTTTTTAGTGAACCAACTGTTCCTGCGGACTTCACAATCGATGCACGACCTGATTCAACACTCCTCAGCCGAGGTGTGCCTTATCCGCACCAGGTCCCGAAGTATAATAAGAAGTTGTGTCGAAGGTTGGCCTTCCCGGATGTTCGAAGATTTTTTCACCTTCGTCGCTTGAAAGCGGCTGGTTCAAGTCGATTCTTCGACGTCAAGGTCCCAAAGAGAAGTGTTCGCTTCTTGACTGTCAGGTTTCGTCCAATAGCGAGTTTCATTCCGCTACCGACAGAGCAGAACGAAACCCCAAAAGTGGCCTACACGATCGTGTCTAGCACGGATCCCTTGGGCATCTATGACAAGGGAACAGCTGCTTATGCCAAAGGGGTCGCAAAAGAGCATGAAGAAGACGTTCGTGTTATCGAGCGTTCAGAAGTGAGAGAACGAGTCAAAGAGCTCAACAAACTCGTCAATGATAATCCGAAAGACGTCCAATCATGGCTCCGACTCGTCGACTTGCAAGACTCCGTTGTGCGAGAAGAGTTCAATGTGAACAACATTAAGGCCAACGAGAGAACTGTGGCAGAGAAAAAGGCGGCCGTTCTCGACAAGGCTTTGACGAAACTGCCGACAAACATGGACCTTGTCTTGGCCCGGCTGGAAGTTGCTAAAACCGTTTCAAACTCTGTGGAATTGCGCAAAGAGTGGGGCTACGTGAATTTCCGTCACCCGGCGGATTGCTGCTTGTGGCGAGAAACGCTCGTGTTCTCTCAAACTCATTTGGGTTATTTCAACGTGCTCAACACTGCGAGGGACTATAAGGAATCCTTGGGTAAACTGCGGCTCATCCTCGACGGAGTCATGTTGTCGCACAAATCAGGAGAAGGCTTTGACGTTGATGTTGTGGACATCGTGTCGTGGTTTGCCCACTTTTGGGCATCAACGGGATTCTACGAACGTGGGATTGCAGTGTTTCAAGCTGCGTGTGAATTCAACTTATTCTGCCCCGAAGAACTCACTAAGCACGAAGACAAAGTGAATGTTTTTGAAGTGTTTTGGGACTCGAGAGCCCCGCGGATTGGAGAAAGGGACGCCCGTGGTTGGAGCACTTCATTGGCGGACAAACGCGTGTTTTTGCTGGAAACTGGTCGGGATCGAGATTTTGAAGACCTCGAAGACAAGCTGGCGAGTAAAGAAGGCGCCACAAAGGCGGAACGATGGCTTAGCATTGAGAATGCGAGGTGCGAGTGGCAGTTCTTACCATGGGCGCCGTCCGAAGACAACGAAGACGTGGAAGACAGAGATCGCGTTGTTTTGTTTGAGCACATTTCACCCTCTCTTCTGACATTCTCGTCCATCTCTGCTAAATTCCACCTCTTTGCGACATTTTTGACGTTTCTAGGATCTCGTATCCCGGGAATTACTTACGGGGCAAGGTTGATGCTTGGCATTAGCGACCCTTGTGTCGAAACATTTGTCGACGCGCGGACTGACGATTTGTTTGAAACTTTTCTTCCCTACCGGCCGTCGTCAGACCTTTCCACATTCCGAGACTTCGCGTCAAGAGTCATGGAAACTGGCTTGAAGGTCTTCGATGGTTTTGAGCGCAGAATGTTGGTGCATTGGAACCTACTGGCAAATATCGATCGCTTGACTGATGAAACTGCGATTGCAAAACGCATCAAGTCTGCCATGAAGGAGAACAGAACTGACATGGACTTGTTTCGGTTATACGGAGAAAAATTGTGGGACGCCGGGAAGAAGAAAGATGCGGAAAACGTGTTTCAAACAGCGCTCGAGGTTTCGCCGCGGGAAGGTGAACGAGGCAGTGATGCGTCAAAGTTTCTCGAACAAAACGTCGCCTTGCTAAACTTGGGTTTTGCGTACGTAAAGAAACTCGCGGGTCTTGGGTCTCATTTGACTGAATCCGAGAAACAGACGGCCTTGTGGGTTCTGTTTCAAGTCTCCGATGGGTGCAGGACATTTTCTGGGCGGAAACAAGGAAGTGAAGTTACTGACGCCATGTTGCTTCGTGCGCGCGCAAATTTTTCCGAGACGCAAGCGGCCTTGCTGAAACCCCCATTTGGAATATCGCGAGTGACTGTCGTGCCAACGGTATCGTCAACAGTCGACCTTCTCGCAGCATGGACATCCAGCAATGCGTGGATGGAGTATCTCAGTTCAGGAAACGTGTCCCACGCGAGGATCATTTTGCAAAATGCGATTCGTGCCGTGAAGATGTTCGTGGGTGATTCCCTTGAGTCTCAGGGGAAGCAACGGCAGAGTAAACGCCCAAGTGTGGTCATGTGTGGTTCCATCGTGACTTTGGAACGATTGCATGCTGAATTGGTTGAGTTGATGTTCGTCGACATGCGGAGTGGTGGAACAGTGCCGAGGACTGTTGTGAAAGTCTTGAGGTGTGCATTGGAGGATGTGCCTGCGTCTTCGTTGATTCTGTCTAACTTCTGGGCGAAGCAGGTTTGTTTCTGTTTGCGTCTTCTGTAAAAAACACATTTTTGACAATGCCAGGTATTAAATTCGAGGATGGATCCTGCTCTGTGGATACAGTATTTGCAAGAAGCCCACTGGGAACAAAATTGCGTGCTCAAAATTTTTTCCTCGCTTTAAGTCTCAAGGACATTGCGGAAAAAAAAAGAGCCTACACGTGCTAATGTACTTCTGAAGATACAGTAATTTTTTATTTTCTTTGGGTCCGTGTGGCTAATTTTGCTAGTCAATGACGTACCTCAATTGTTCAGGATTCAAGATTGCACTGCATCTGCGGCAAGTGTTGTGAATGCCGGCAATGTATTCACGTGGTGTCCTCCTTCTCTAGTTGTAAATTGAAGTTGTGAAGAGTTTTGTGAATCGTAATTGAAACGCAGAGGGAAGCACGTTTGATGAATAAGTTGAGAGCGTTCTAAGTTTCAAGATCATTTGCAGTCGAGAAAATGTAAGGAATTCGTTCTCGGTGCATGAGACTGGAGCATATGACTCACCCAACCCGTTTATGATGATGCTGAAGTGAACACTAGAGGGGCTCAAAAGAAGATGGAACTTGGTACAGTATAATCATGTGTAAAATTCATTACAGTACAGTGGACGACGCATTTGTGTTCCCAGTGAATTGCAACTTTTTGCATTCCTTATGGAAGCTTTAAATTTTAAATCAAAGTGCGCTTGGATTTCTATCTTCCTTGTGGAAAAAAACACAACCGTAATGTTTCATGTGAAGTGTGAGCGCGATCCTACGATGCAGTTTTCGAGTGTCACAGATCCATGACGGTGCCATTTCCCTAAATTTTTTTGCAGTTGAACCCGGTGCTGAGGAAGGAGCTGACATCACACGTGATGAGAACCTTACCTGATGCCGGAAACGATCTGTTGCTGATTCTAGCCTCGGTAAAATCCGAGCTGGAACGATACAGGGGCTTCAACGAGGACGACGAAGTTTACGTTTCGCCGATTGTTGGTACTGGAAACCGCATATTGTCGTTGCTCGAGAAGGCTTTGAGTGGGCGAAGGTTGCAGCACTGCGCCTTGCTTTGGAGGCTACGGATGAGGATTTTGCACATGCTGGGCAAGTCGGCGGAAGTCAAGGCTGTTTTTTATTTGGCAGTCGAACAAGTTCCGTATTGCAAGGTGCGTGGGACTTTTCGCATGTTTCATAGGATGAGGAAAATTCTAAAAGGTATTATCGTGTGATCGATTGTAGGATTTCTGTAAATAAGGGGTTATTCGGTTTTCGATTAAATTAATTCGTCGAAGAGCGAATGCTCCGAAAATGTCATATGATCAGATAGGAAGGAGTTGGTTCATTTTACTCCAAGCGGGTCAAACACCATTTCAAAAAAGTGGTGTTGGAAGAATTGTCAAACCACTCTGGTTTGCCCTCCCTTTTTGTGCCCCAATCGTAAATGGCTAAGAGTAATACATTTCCTAGATATTCTTGCGAAGTTCGTGTGTTATGGTGTGCCCGAACACTTGTCTAACTTCTTCTGCATTGATGATTGAATCATTTTTGAAAGGATTGGACTGCAATATTTTTTAGACTTGAAAAACTAAAATGTTTCTTTGCTTCGCATGAAAACTGAACAAACCCTCGTATTTCTTGGCCCTTGCAGTTCGAGGCATGTTCCAATTCGCATTTTTCCAAATTATATGGTGAAAAACTAGCGGTACAAGTCACAACGGAAAACTTGGATATTTTTCATTGGAGTCTCCACTTATTTTGTGCATCATATGAATTGACAGAGCGTTTACTTGGATGTGGTGCAATATTGTCAAGAAATGCTGAAAGAAGTCGTGGACCTGATGCAAGAGAAATTAATGCGTGTTCGACTTCCGCTGGAGGAACTTGACGTTCTGTGTGAAGATCTAGAGGAAGAACTTGATGCCAAGAATGATGAAGAATCCGACTCCAAGCAAGAAAATGATGAAGCGCCTTTAGAACCGAAAGCTGAGCCGGCGGCATTTGATTGAAAGAAAGAACTGTGATTTTCTATTTGAAAAATGTTTTTGACCCTTGTTGAAAAAAATAATCGAAGAAAAACTTTTCGGTTGCGTAAAAAAGACAGTCCTTTTTTTTTTATTCGCATAAATTATAAACCTTACGCTGCTCCAAAAACAAACGCAGGAAGTCTTCTTCGAAGAACACCATGGAAATTCCGTGGAAGAGTCGTTCAAAAAGTCTCCCAACTTCAGCACCAACAGCTCCATTAAGTACGCCTCACTGAATTCGATTTAATGTAAATGACATCACGTTCAAGGAATTTCTCATTTCCCCACTGATTTCTCTTAGTTTCGTGCGTGTAAAGAAGAAAAAATCCCCGACTTTCTTCGTCCTTTCAAAAACGAAATGAGGAAACGTTATGAAAGGCATTCCAAATTTTTTCCAAGGTCTACAGGGCTTTTCGGAAACGAAAAATGGGTTCTTGTACCCAGGACTTTGATGCAGTTTTCGAAAAACCCCGTGGAGTCCCAAAATTTGTGAATGCCCATCTTGGAGATCCAGAGGAACTAGGGAAACGAAAGCCACGCGCAAAAAACGCTAGAATAGTTACGAAAAAAGTCAAATTTTCATCACAAGCCTGCGATTACCAAAACCTTTCCTGTCTCTCAAGTCCGTTGCCACTCTCGAAAAAGAGGAAGAACCAGATCTGACGTGAATCATCTTGTTTTCATATTATAAGTTAATTTGAGGGTACGTATCAATTAAATTATTAACGTGCTGTTCTGCAATTTTTCATCAGTTCTAATTCAAGTATATTTTGAAACGCCAAGGATTTGAATTTGAAGAATATTTCGCGTAGCTTTTTTTTTGGCGAACGAGGTTGGTAAAAAATTAGTTATGTATCTGACGAACAATATTTTTGCGTCAAAACGAGTTAAGGAGCAAAATGCCATGCAAAAAAATGAATTGAGTTTGTGGATATCATACCAAAACCCTTGGTGTAAATTATGTTTCTATGCACGGCGCATGCCTGCTTTTTGCAAGAAGAGTCGTTTCAAAATAGGAGCCCGCAGCTTCAATTTATGTTCAAATTGCGTTCGCAACGGAAATTGCGCTTCAGCAGATTTCTTGACCATTTTGGCACTTGTATTTTTTAGGATTTCATTTTAAATTTCGTTGGTTAAACTTATGTTAATGACGTTTGCCCTCAGGTTTTCTTTTTCGGAATTCCTCGGCGAGAGATTGGACCTTGGACACCAAATGGAATTCATCGTACAAATCACAGGGACTTCCAAAAACTTGAGTGGCAACGGGAGACCCAAACAAAAAATGAGTGACCGGTTCACATCAGCAAACGTTGTTGTTGCCGCAAGCAACGTCATCATCATCATCGTCATCTTCTTCCTTGGCGGCAATCGGCGCCAACTTGAGCTTCTCCACCAACGGCTCCTTTGTTCCGTCATCGCCGCAGCCGCCACCGACCTTGTGCGCCTCCACGTCATCATCCGCCGAAGGATCCACCTTCTTGTACGTGCAGTTATTGTTGATGGGCACCATAGTGGCGCCGGTGTTGTCGAGATACACTCGCTTGCGAGCCTGCGTCCGGTCCCGCACGTGGCGCACCGTGATGAATATCGCAAATGCCACCAGTGGCAAAACTATGGCGCTCATGACCGCCACTTGGACCACGTAGTTGGGCTTTTCGTAGACACGAACCGCAATGGCCACGGGGGACTCTAGCGACGCGTGTACGGGGTCCAGTGGGGACCTGAGTGCGGGGAACCCGTCGTCTTCGAGGCACGTGTACAAGAGGAGCAGCTTGAAACTGCCCGATACTCGGTCGCCGGCGTCGACGATGTCGAGCACTGACTCGATCCTACAGCTGTTCTCTTCGTAGAGTGTCTCACTCGCGAGCTTGGTGAAATTTCCAAAGTAGCACGGGGGGTGTCGCTGTGGAAAGAGACGAGCATAAAAAAGGGGGTTGTTTTTTTAAAGCATGAAACGAGATCAGAATTACGAGGGGTCTGACACATTTTCTCAGAATAGAAATTGAAAGGGCACATTTAATATTCAGAAAAAACCATTCTTTGGCACTAGGAAAAAAAAGTCAATCCTGTTCAGCATATTTTCCAGACAATTTTTGCGAAGTTCACCCTGGTAGCTTTCTGCGCTTCACTCAAAACATGAGGCATTCATCTTGCAGATTTTTTTAATTACCCCAGCTTTCCCTTCAGAATCCTAGGAACTGGCATGGCATTAATCCCATGGATTGCCGCCATTACCGTAATTGATTATTATTTCCGCCATTTTCATTAACAGCTGCTACTTGGGATGGGAATGTGGTGGATGTTAATGAAAATGGAGGAATTACCTTGGAAAACCTGGAAGCAACCCTTGTAATTCATGCCATGTCAATTTCAAGAATTCTGAAGGTAAAGCTGAGGTACAAAAAAATCAGCAAGATGGATGCCTCTTCTTTTGGGTGAAGAGCAGAAAGCTGCTAGGATGACTTAAAAAAAAGTATAAATATGTTCTAACATGGCTGAGTTATTTTTCTTGTGCCAAAGAACAATGTTTTTCTGAACAATAATTGTTTTTCAGCTTTGAAAGCATGCTGCTTCAATTTATATTCCAAGAACTTTTTTTGGACTCTTCGCAGATGAGAAGTGCCGATTTACCAATGCAGAGTTGATGAGCAAATTTGTTCGGCTTAAATACTGCAGTACAGCTGAGCCCCGATTCTCACAACTGCTAATGTGACCATGGTATATCAGAACATTGTTCGTGTGGGTAGATGTCGCTAGTGTAGTGATACTGTACTTCATTTTCCAGTCTTCTGAATTTATCTCGAAACCTGTACAGTACTTCCAATCGGGATGAAGTTTAATACAATTCATCGAGCTGCATTTTTTCTTTAAAATACAGTAGACCGAAATTGTCGACTTTCCCATTCGAAAATTTCTCTTTGAAAGCGTAGTACGCCTGTTATGCGCTGGTTTTGCAAACGTGTTAGATTGATTGATAGGTTGATTTGGTTTATTCCCGAATAACTCACTGATGAGAGAGTGCTGTTGTTGATGACGCATGACCTGCCTGCGGTGTCTGTGAATACCCAGGCTGTAGTAAAGTTGGTCAGAGTCCAGGGTCGAGTAGGAACGGCGTCGTTCTTGGCCTCACAACCCGCAATGAACCTCAGGGTGACCCTGGCTTCCGTACTGGAAGTCGTCTCCACAAACGCCGAAGGACTCTGGGTGAAGCTGAATCGGTGTCCGCCGGGAATCTGCGAACAATTGAGAACCTCTGCTTTGTCATCTTCCGATTCTTCTTCTGCTTCCTTGTAATCATCATCATCTGCTTCTTCTGCAGCAGGAGTAGGAAACGCGCTTCTTCCTTCCTGGTCCACGTGTTCTTTGGCGTTCTGCTCATGGTCGACAATTTCGTTGGCAGTATCCGCTTGGGATGCTTTAGTGGTGCTCTCCTTCACGGCTGGTGCTTCAGTTGGTTCTTGAGAATCGATGATGATTTCTTCCCGAGAAGCTGTGGTTGTTTCAGGGGCTCCTGTTGTGGTGTCCGGAACGTGGACCTCGGCTGGGTGGATTTGCTTCTTCTTGTGTGGTACTTCTTCCACGGGGGCCAATGTCGTGTCTACAGAGGGCTGATCTTGCTTTGGTGTCGTGGTAGGGTCTTGTTCGTGCTTGTGGATTTCTGAAACACCTGGAAAAATGAAAGGTTGGTTCGTGAGTTTAGTCAGTCTTGGGCTTCACTCGGTGGAGTCTTGGATGGAGATGGGTTCGCTGTGTGAAGAGTGTGCTATTCGATCAACTTTTGGAATTTATCTCAGTAAGGGGCGAATTGGTTTTTTTTACTATATGAATGTGAAGATCAACTTTAGGCCTGATTTTTACGAAAAGTGTAGATGAACCGGTTCGAATTACCCGAATTTCTTCAACTAATTGAAAGATAATGATGAGTGTAAAAGTGTAGATGTTCCCGTATTTATCTTTTTTATTCTAAAAAAATGAGGCTTTTACCAAAAAATTTGGGATCTTGATTCAAGATCCCAAATTGAACGATTCAACATCGTTCGATTTGTTTCAATCCAACAAAATTTTTAATTAGACGATTCAACATTGTTGCAATGCTTTCTTGAGCGAAATCTAGTCTTTCGTTCCAAAAATTCTGCATAACATCTCGTTTTGCAAAAATCTTGTTTCGAGAGTTGATGAGGTACATTTCATCGCTGAAAAGATTTTATTTACATCTTCAATTAATCAAAGAAGAATGAGTGCTGTAGAAGTGTAGGTGTTTCTTGGTTTATCTTTTATTCCAAATAAGAATGGACATTTTACCAAAATATTTTATATCTTAGGAAATAAGTAACGTTTTTTCCAATGCTTTCTTAAGCAAAATCGCATTCTTTGTCTCAAAAATTCTGCGTAACAACGTCTCGTTTTTCAGAAATCTCGTTTCGACAGTTGATATACTGTAGTGCATCTCATCGCTGAAAGGATTTGATTTTTCGACCTGCGAACCTTGCATGCTTTTTATGAATTGCCCGAATGTGTAACTCTAAAAATGCTGCTAACAATCTCAAGTCATTAAGATATCTTTTCGGACGCAATGCCCCGCAAGATCATAGAACCGTAAAGAGCTTGAATCTCGGAAATTTTCATCTCAATCAATCTGAATATGTGAAGCTTGCCTAAAGTAATATCCACGGACGATATGTTGTACTTCCAAAATAAATGGAGTTACTTCGAATTTCAATTCACGATCATGTTCGGATGTTCCTGACTCGGCTGTATGGGTATACTCAAAGAACTGCCGGAGTTACTGGAAGGTGTCGATTCAGCCTCGGTCCAACATCATCAGTACAGAAATAAAAAACCGATCGAAATTCAATATAATTTAGGCGATATCTGCGTGATGAAGAGTAAAATCTGAGGTTTCACAATCAGAAACAGCAAAAATGATATCCTAATTTTAGTTTGATACGTACTGGGTGTAACAGAAGACGTATCTTCAACTGGAGTGAAAAGCCGCTCATGTTCTGTGCTGCTGTCATGAGTTGCTGTTGGTGATGCTTCAGGAATAATAATCGCAGGAACAACTGCTGGATCAGCATCCAAAGAATTATGTTCCGGTCTTACAGAAGGTTTCGGCGTTTCTGGTTCTTCATCCAATGGTGCACCGGTGTTAGGCTTTTGATCTGGAATCATAATATCCGCAGAGATGTATTTTAGAAAGTCTTGATTTGTGCAGATGAAAAATTAATTTTCATAATTACTTCTGTTGGTAATAGAGAGTTATCCCATTTCTCTTTGTCTTCTCATGCCTGAAAAATACTGTGCTGCGGAAGTCTTCTAAATGTTTGTATACAGGTGGACTCACTCTACAACGATCTGATGTACAAGAATTTGCTATGTACAACAAATTTTATTTTGGTTCCATTGGGTTCTCTCCCCATGTTACAGGGGTTCTCTACAACAAAATACTCTGTTCAGTATAGGGAAAATTTTCTGGTTCCTTGAATTTTGTTGTACAGTATAGAGGAAGTCCACGCGTGAGCAAGGGAGAATACATTGAGACCCCGCAAAACGATAGACTTGCGCCACAAAAAATTCTCATGACAAAACTTTTGGCCAGGGAAAGCAAAAATCGAAAAAATGAACGCCTCCCATAACGAAAAAAAAAATCCCGTATTACGAAATTTTCTGTATGATGCGAGACCCAAAGTCACTATTCAATGGTTTCGCTGAGCCCCAATCTGCTTTTATTTATATTTTTGTCTGTACTTCTCAGCTTTACAATACAGTACTGTATTTCTTCAGTCGTGAAATCAAATGAAATGGGAGAAAATGTTTTGGTTGAGTGATGGTTGTTGACCATATGTATGTGAAGCAACTCCAGGCCTTATATCATTCCTATAGATACTGAAAAATTAAGAAACAGTTCAGATCACCCGACTTTCTTTGAGAAATCAAATAAGAAGGAATGTAGAAGAGTCGGTACACCTTTGTTTAGCTCTTTATTGTAATAGAATAATTTTTTTCAATTGTTGGGAGCGAATTGAAATTTTTGCAATTTTTCTTGAGGAAAATCTCGTTTTTTGCTGACATCGTGTATCCAGGAAAGGATCAGTTTCATGATATGGGAACCCAGCGCTGCAGCATTTCTTATCCAAGTGAAAAATATCTTTACCAATTGCAGACATTTCAGAATTTCTTCCTTGCTCTCTATGAATTCTGTTGGAATTTGAGTTGATATGCTCATACAATATCGCAAGACGTCTCAAAACTTAAACAATGCATCGAAAATCTTGGACTGCATTACAATTTTTCTAAATTAATATAATGCTGAGAAAAAAAGCTACAATTGAATTAATCTGTTGAGAATTTAAAATTGTCATGAAGGTGGTTAATTGCTATTAATTCAGGCTTGAAGATGTTGGTAAGATTCAAGTTCGATTTATACAGTACTGTACCTTCCTCCTTCAGGGTTGTCGCCGGCAGGGATACGGTACTGACGCGCTCAATAGGTGTCGCTGTTGTGGTAGGCGTCATCGAAACAGCCGGAACCACTTCGTTGTTCCCATCCAATTTAATCAACTCATTGGTGATGTCGAAGTGATTTGCATTCCGATGGAATACGTCTCCTATCACAGCGGCTTCAACGAGGTTAGCTTCCCCACTCCCCTCGGATTTCTCCTTGTGATCGTGAGGCAGCATGTTACTAGCGACATCTTCGTCATCTGGAAACCGTAGATCCGGAATGTGCAATGCGTGTTTCGTAGATGTCGGTATATGGTCGGGCATAGCTCCGCTGCCTGAACCTGACCCGGCTTCCGTGTCATCTTCCGTGTCGTCAATGTAGAAATGGTCCATTGGTTTTGGTTGGATTCGAGCCTCGGCACTCTTGAAGACAATCGACGCGACAAGCAGGCAGCAAAAGCCAAGGATCGACACCGGGCTTCTCATCTTGTCTTCATAAAAAAAATTCAACCAAAGCTTCCGATTCCGCTTCTACCTTCAAGATTCACGATCTGTGTTACACAACTATTGTAAAAACTGAACGCGGTAACTAATGGTTTGTCACCTGTAATAAAGAGAAAAACAGATTATTTAAATTTTTTCAGATGTTTGTGCCTTCTTTAATTGACAAGTGTAACTTTGTCTGATCTTTGTGGCATCACATTTTAACTCTTTGACGGCGGAGGGTTCCTGGTGGTCCTGCGGAAAAGTCGGGGTTTTTTTGAGAGGCGTCCCGTTTCAGTTTGACCAAAGGTCACTGAAATGGGCCCATGCAGGTTGGGAAGGCCTAAGTCAGTAAAAATCCTGGAAGGGTGAATCTTTTTGTTTTCAAAAATAACCAGTGCTGATCCTGTGCAAGGAATTCATGAGAAAATCGCCACCCAGTAGTGGGGAATTTTTATATATTTTTCAGGCAAATTTTTTTACAGGATTAAAAAAAAATTGAAAATTTTCCTTACTTAGGCCTTGGTACAAAAAGCAAATTTTGTAAATTTTCAGTGCTCATGGGCACACAATTTGCAAAAATATCCCAACTTTGTTGCACAAGAGACTCAAGGGTTAACAATTTAGGAACATTCTTGAGTCCCTTTCCCATATACATATATATATATATATATATAATTTTTTTTTTATATTTTCAACTAATATCACGCTGGTTTTGCCTATGTATTGCAATGTCCAAAGATGAACTCAGCTAATCTAAGCCATACTGACCAAAGGTAAACAGTAAATCAGGTGAATTCTCTATGCATCAAAATTCAAGGGACCAGAAAGAAGTTCATTGTGGAGCAAACAATACTCAAGTCTAAGACAAAATCATTGCAGAGAGAATGTTGTTGTAGAAAACCCCTATAACAGGGGGAGAGAATCCTATGAGACAAACATTTTTTATGGAGAGAAAATTATTTCAGACAATATTTTGGTTTAGAGAGAATCTATTTGTAAGCATTATTCATTTTGTGATTTTTTGTTGTTGAACAATTTCAATTGGAATGCTATACTTAAACACTGTACAGAGTACACACAGTAAATTGAATAATGTTGATTGTTCTTTATAGCACACAGGCATGTGTAGGAAAAGGCATGCTGATCTAGAAATCCTTTGTAAAGCAAACTAAAAATCAATCTTAAATTCTTGAGGCACCAGCAATTGAAAAAAAAATTTTGGCTTCAGTTTTGTGAAGTCACATACTTCTGCTTTTTCATGTTGATAAGGGTAATCACTCAGAGTATGGAAGAAATCTGTTTTCTTTCATGCATCTGAATTGCTAATTTTTAGGTTATAAAGGAATTTGAAATTCAGCTTATATTTTATCTACTATATTCCTGGAATGCAACTCTCTTAAGCAAGTACAAAAAAGATTTTGATTTGGGCTAGATTCACATCAGTTGCATTTATAGAAAAAAATTTCCTTTGCAGGGGAGTGAATTTCACAACGTTCTAGANAGAAAAACAGATTATTTAAATTTTTTCAGATGTTTGTGCCTTCTTTAATTGACAAGTGTAACTTTGTCTGATCTTTGTGGCATCACATTTTAACTCTTTGACGGCGGAGGGTTCCTGGTGGTCCTGCGGAAAAGTCGGGGTTTTTTTGAGAGGCGTCCCGTTTCAGTTTGACCAAAGGTCACTGAAATGGGCCCATGCAGGTTGGGAAGGCCTAAGTCAGTAAAAATCCTGGAAGGGTGAATCTTTTTGTTTTCAAAAATAACCAGTGCTGATCCTGTGCAAGGAATTCATGAGAAAAACGCCACCCAGCAGTGGGAAATTTTTATATATTTTTCAGGCAAATTTTTTTACAGGATTAAAAAAGAATTGAAAATTTTCCTTACTTAGGCCTTGGTACAAAAAGCAAATTTTTTTAATTTTCAGTGCTCATGGGCACACAATTTGCAAAAATATCCCAACTTTGTTGCACAAGAGACTCAAGGGTTAACAATTTAGGAACATTCTTGAGTCCCTTTCCCATATATATATATTTTTTTTTTTATTTTTTTTTTCAACTAATATCACGCTGGTTCTGCCTATATTGCAATGTCCAACGATGAACTCAGCTAATCCAAGCCATACTGACCAAAGGTAAACAGTAAATCCGGTGAATTCTCTATGCATCAAAATTCAAGGGACCAGAAAGAAGTTCATTGTGGAGCAAACAATATTCAAGTCTAAGACAAAATCATTGCAGAGAGAATGTTGTAGAAAACCCCTCTAACAGGGGGAGAGAATCCTATGAAACAAAAATTTTTTATGGAGAGAAAATTATTTCAGACAATATTTTTGTTTAGAGAGAATCTATTTGTAAGCATTATTCATTTTGTGATTTTTTGTTGTTGAACAATTTCAATTGGAATGCTAAACTTAACACTGTACAGAGTACACACAGTAAATTGAATAATGTTGATTGTTCTTTATAGCACACAGGCATGTGTAGGAAAAGGCATGCTGTTCTAGAAATCCTTTGTAAAGCAAACTAAAAATCAATCTTAGATTTTTGAGGCACCCAGCAATTGAAAAAAAAATGTTGGCTTCAGTTTTTTGAGGTCACATACTTCTGCTTTTTCATGTTAATACGGGTAATCATTCAGAGTATGGAAGAAATCTGTTTTCTTTCATGCATCTGAATTGCTAATTTTTAGGTTATAAAGGAATTTGAAATTCAGCTTATATTTTATCTACTACTGATATAAGGACCTTACGTTGAGAGAATTCGTTCATGTTTTTTCTAAAACTAAACCCGATCTAAGTGTAGTCAACGTAAATATCTTTTTTTAAAGGAAACGTCCCCTCACTTAAAGTGTTGCAAGATCTAATTGCAACCTGAGTTGAAAGACAAACCAACAGCAAGAATATGTTCCAGTTTAAAAAAAACAGGAATAATTTACTTTGAAATATAAGCACTACGCCAGCTTACGATATCGCTTCAGGAGTCTTTCACAATCAAGAATTGTTGCGTATTTAAATGATGCATTGATCAGCAATGGAGACTGAATTCGACTTTCACCATCCATCGTCATTCATCCGAGTACTGTATGTAGTACTATATATACACTACAGAACAGTACTTCAGTTTGAGAGTTAAAAAAAAGTTAAAAAGTAAAGGACCAGATTGCGAAAATCCCCTTTCCTTCCAGATCTTAAAAAAAAAAGCGACCGAAAGCAGTAAAAACTTATCAGCTCTGGTTCCAAAGAGCCCATTAATCTCCACCTGCGCATTTGCAAGCACTTGAATGTCAAACGGGGTTCGCCAATAAATCACCGCCTGAATCACTAATCCCCGTAACACCAAAAAAAAATATCGAAGGGTGATTGTTGTTTATATATATTCTCCTCCTTGGAATTTTCTAGTGCATGATCGGATCTTATGTTCCCGATTCCCGCTGATTTCGGAAGAGATCTTTCCCCCCGTGTCAACCGGAAGCCGACAGAAATGTCTTCGTTTATTTATTTATTTTTTGTCTCCTCGCAGTCGGAGAGAAAAAAAAATTCAAAGAAATTTACGACAGCGGAAAGGCAGCAAATCACTTTGTTCCTGCTTATTGTCTCTCGCTTAAAAAGCTCTCGACACCGACACTGACGTCAAGTAAGTCAACCATCAGCAGCCCGATGTTCGATAAGCCGGAAAGTCATTCGAGAATAATTCCCAGGCTCTCCTTTTTTCCACTAAATCGCTCCAGACCGTCGACGAACCCTTTATTTTCTTTTTCACGGCTGTTTTTTAGTTTATTTTACGGTATACTATATATTATTTCTTTGAAAATTCCCCGAGTTGAAGGTGGCTATAAAACCCGGCGTTGAAGGGAAAATTAACCACGGATGTCTCGGTTTCTCAACGAAATAAACAAACGGGGAATCAAGAGTTACCGAAACCGTTTCTTATTTTCAATTTATTAATTTCGCGAGTAGAATTTGTGCTGTTGAAATCCGCACTTGGGACTGTTGACTTGATTAATTCGAGAAAATTACCGGCGGCAAAAAGAAAGGGCATCAAATTTGGCAACCAGAATAAGTGAATATGTGACTCACATTGCGTGTCACATATTTCATGCTTTCATTCGAATTTGACTCGCCAATTTTTTGTGTGCGTTAATTAATTGTGAAAAGAAAAACACCGCACTTTTTTTTTCTGATTTCGTGAATTGTTAGAATTGCGTATGGATCCATGCTCAGGTCCATTGCAACGCGAAATTTTGGCAGTGACGAAGAAGTTTAATGATCACCACTGTGCTAATAAATGGTTTTGGATCAGCGTCAATAAGGTTCAGGGGTACGAATGAGCCCAAATGTTGAGGGCTGATGGTTGGGTTCCTTCCTTCATAGTACAATACAATATCACTAATTGAACTTGATTTTTCAAAAGTTGTAGTCAACAGAGAGAAAATAAATTCTTCATTGTCACCAAGAATAATCCGCGATGTAACAAAATTTCCGCAAATTATGAAGATCATCGAACGATCTAATAAAAACCCACATTTTGATTGAAAAAATTTGACCAACATATATGACCGCAACTCGTTTAAAAAAATTTAAAATCGATGAGGAAGTGTTTTGAAAATGCAGTTACGCATACGATGAAACTCCATTTAAAATTATAATAAGTTATACTGTACAGCATTTTTCAGAAAAATTTGCTTAAATCGAGATTGCAGTTTACAGGAAGCTTCTTTAATTTTCTCAGTAAAATTATATAATCGTTGCAATTACGGTCGCGCCTAAATATTTTAAATTGTTTCGGTAAAATCGAAGCGAACTGCAATCGTAAATTTCAGATTTACTTCACATATAGAAAGCGTTTCGGTTCCAGGAAAACACAATGAAGGAACGTTTTTGCAAAAATGAAACACGATATTATTCCCATTATACTTCTCCGATATGCGTGAAATATAGTATATAAATGCCAGCAAATACCGCCCTGACTTCGGGTAGATCGAATTGCTCTTTTCTTTTAAATTTCGTTCAAAAACATTCTGGACATTGGGGAATTGAAAAAAAAAATTTCTCTCTTTTTTGGTAGGATATTTTGAAAAGCGAGAAGCTTTTTTTGTTTTGTTTTTTTGTTATTTTTTTTTTGTGCAAGCACGACCCGAAT